CAAATAGGAAAACCCAGGCCTCAAATGACCATGGTGTAAAATACTAAAGATTATAAAACTACTTTTGGTCTTTCAGTAGGAGGTTGGGCTAGAAAATATTTTAGTAATAGTCTGTTAAAATTAGTAAACATTTAGATGCTCTCAGGAATGTATTTCACATAGCTATAAACAATCTATGGCATTTTTTAACCTCTAAGAGATAAAGTTCTGTTTTTTTTTTAAAAGGCAGATTGATTAAGTGTGTGCTTTTTAACTTATCCCAAAACAGCTTTATTGTGTCTGACCAAAGTGAAGCTTTTAGCCTGAGGTACATAGAACCAGATATAATTCATGGATGGGATTTGGGGAGTGGGGCATCCATAAACCATCTTGGCTATGAAGCATAGCATACATGCGTACATATGATTTTTTTTTAAATTTGGTGAGAGGACCCTGAGATTTTGTCGGTTTTGAAAGAAGTTCTGTGTCTCCCAAAGGTGGGAAGTCTTTGGATCAGAGCACACAAGGCCGAGCAGACCTAGAGAGAACGTGGGGCAGGGGCACGAGGGCCTCCTTGTTCACATGCAGGGGGCATCTGGGCATCTGTTTAGAGACCCTTCCTCTAGTCCAGGGCTCCACAAGGGTGCTGCATAGAGCTAACGCTGATGGAGACAAAAAGAAACTTTACAAGGCAAGATCAAAGCTAAGATCAGGACCCCAGTCAGGTAGCCAACCCTGTCAAATTAGCATACTTAAAAGAGTAACGTGTGTGCATCTCAACATCCATAGCTCAGGTTACAATAGCTAAGACAATGGTAATTAATAGGTATTTTCAGTTATGACTGTATCATAGAAAACATGCTTTTTTATTGTGTCGAAAAATGCATCATAACTTAGAAGGAAGGGACTGGATCCTAGATTCATTTTATTAAGGATTAACCATGTGGTTTTGAGGGGTGAACATACAGTACATAGAAAAGACAGCATCAGGTCTGAGTCCCTTTCTCAGGGGGACGTCCAGTGCACAGGCAACTTGGAAAAAACGCTCACTCAGAAGGGAGGGAGAGGGCTCTGGGCTGGGCAAGTGAGTCTGTTACAGACATGCAGTGTTTTCTTTGACAACTGACTTGAATGGAAGGAAGTTCCTTGAGTTATCTACAGCAGTACTCTCTTAAAGTTAGTTTAAAAAATAAAACTAAACAATAATCAAAAGAATACATCTCCAGTCTCCAAGGCCCCCTTGGCTGCCCAGCACGAGGCTGGCAGGTGCTCTCTCCAATCTCAGTGAGGGAACAGTTCCTAACGTGTATGAGTGGCTCCATCTAGCTTGCAGCCCACAATCTCTATAGGTTTTATTTGGTTGTAAAATGCGATCAGTTCTGGGCAATCCTTCCCACCTGCATACTCTACTGTCCTTCACTTGGGACTTGCTTTTGAAAGCCCAACTCTGTCCTGGATCTGAGTACGGGAATGCACTAGTGAACGTGGCTTTCTCTCCTTTGATCTCGTTTGCTAAATCATAAATCTTGAATGTTACAACTGTACTAATGTCTGGTCAGTCAGATGTGATGAAGTTAATAATGAGTCATCAACATATTAGGCATCAGATGGAAAACAAACAGAGGGGAGATAGGAAGAACATACAGACCTGCCTTGAATAAGATTCCTTTAATTTGTAGAAACATTACGTGTTATCATCAAAGGTCAAAGTCAGTTACTGGGAGAAAAATAAATCAAGTTGAGAGGGCTGTTGGAGAACAGACCCAAAACATAAATTCATAATATGTCCTCTGTATTGAAGGAACTTGGTTGAAATCTGTGTATTACAAATTTTTGGAAATAAAACTGGTTGTCAGTAAGCTGGACCATTCATGTAGTTTCATAGGTTCCTGCTTTGAATAGAATTTAAAGAATTGTATCAGTGCAAAACAGAGAGGAAAAACAGAGTAAGGAAAGATTTTTTTTTTGAGTTGGAGTCTCACTCTGTCACCCAGACTGGAGTGCAGTGGCCGCTCCTGGCCACCGCAGCCTTGACCTGCTGGGCTCCGGCGATCCTTCCGCCTCAGCCTTCCGAGTAGCCGGAATTACAGGCATGTGCTACCACACCCGGCAGATTTTTTGATTTATTGTAGAGATGAGGTCTCACAGCCCAGGCGGGTCTCGAACCTGCAGGCTCATGTAATTCACTCACCTCAGCCTCCCAAAGGCGCGGGATTACAGGCTGAGCGACCGAGCCTGGCTAGGAAAGATTTTTAAGAGTGCATCTGCCTGATAGTCTTTATCTCCCATTTTCTTGGCTTGTTAGAGTGCAGTGTTTGTGTTTTTTGTTTTTTAATGAAAGTGATCTGTGAACAGATTCTACCTATCCATGCCAATTACCGCAGATTATCAGTAATCTTCACTGTTGTTGATCTGAGGCTGTAAGTTACATTATGCTTATGGCATGTAGCCGAGAGAAGATTCTAGCTTTCTCATCTGAACATCATGGTATGTTGTTCAGATATGACTCTTAAATATGATATGCACAGTCTTGACTGCATGGTAGATTAAAAATATTCATTGTGCAGTCACCCTCCACTGGGGAAAGGCCACCACGCCCCACGAGGAGCACTGCCCTTCTTCATTAAGGGCAGACTGGTCATCTACTATAAATTGATTACACTGGTCATTTCTTAGCTGCCTACAAATACATTCGCTCATTAACACTCGATTTGTTGAGTGCTGCCGAAGAGGACTGCTGAGCTATTAAGTATCATTTACACTAATTCTGCAGAAAGTGACTTTTCTAATGGCAGTTTTCTTTCAAGAATAATCTCCCTCAGGGAGAGAAGAAAGGAAAGGACAGACAAAGGGAAGCCAGGTTAGGGGCCTTATCTAGACTTTGGGAGTTTCAATCTCTACTTCAGCTGGCTGTTTTGTCACATTAATCTAGAGGTCCTCAATCTTGAACATCCAGTAAGATTTGACTTTATGTTTTTGCTATCTATGAAAACATGGGTTGCTAATCAAGTGAATGGATAGATAAAAAGCTCAGGAGTACTTTGGGTATTTTACAATCAAATTTTCACACGAATTTATAAAAACTTCTAATTTAAAATTATCAAATTTATTAAATCAGGTGTCATGACACTTACTTTACAGTATTTTGAAAGTCATTAGAATGAATTTCAAAGAGCTAGCAATGGATTCTAGTTCTTTGAAATTAGGCATTGATTAACGCAGTTTGGAAGGAGCAGGGTCTAGGAAAAGGTGCATAGGATCAGACTTATAGAGCCTGGCCATGTGGATACAGGAGCCTGAGCGGAGCTCTTGCTTTCTGAAGACCTCAGCAGCTCCCGTGCAGGGCCCTCATTTGTGTTACAGTCATGCCAGGCATTCTACAGATGATACTGCATCTGGTTAGCAAAGTGACCTTGAGAGGAGCCACTACTGACTTCATGTCACGGGGGGAAGACACTGGGAGGTCAATCTAGAGCTGAGTGCGGAGTACCCTAGTTGTAACGTTGGATTGTGAACTGTGTGTGGTGCCACCCAGGTTCTTGGTGTGGCTGTGGGCATTAGGAGGATCAGGATCCACCGTGACTTCATTTCAGTCATACCTAGAGCTTTCCTACCCCAAAATACGGCTGTCGAATGGTACTCTAGAGAATAACCAGATGTAACTATCTCAATATGTTAAAATTTTAAATTCAGTTCTTCATTTGCAGCAGCTACATTTTAAGTACTTGGGAGCCACATGTGACTAGTGGCTACCATACTGGACAACACAGATAGAGAACATTCCCACCACTACAGAAAGTTCTACTTTGGACAGCGTTGCTCTACAAGTGTTGACATTCTGTTCTTGTGCTACAGCAGCCTCTTTTCCTATCCTATACTCCTTAACTGAACCCAGCCTCAATCCATAAAGCTCCTTCCCTCTCCTTACGACTCACTAACACCTCTGATCTTCTTGCCTCCAAGTCCAGATTCTCAACCAGGATTTTCTTGGCATCCTTGATTCCCTTGCTCCTTGACTTTCTGTTGTATGGTACCCCCTGCTGATCCCTAAACTTTAACAGGTCATATCCTTTTACTTTTTGTCTTCTTCTTTCTAAGATATGATATATTCCTGGAAATAATAATAAAATGATATATGCTCTTCCATCTTAACTGGGTCTTCTCTGCTTCTAACTACTTTTTTTAGTTCATCTCATATCGACTCACTAACTCATCCCTTAGGGTGCCTTGTTCACTAAAACTTCAGCTCGCTCATGACCCTCACTCTCCACAGATGACCCATCTCATCTGGTTGGAAGGATCATGCAAAAGCCATCGCCATGAGCTTTCTCAACATTTCCTCTAGCTTTCTTTAGATTCCTTTAGCCAAAGTGACCCACCAACTGATTTTCACCTGGGAGTACTAACTTTCTGCTTCTATATCTCTGCTTACAATGTCTTATAATTTAGAAATCTTCCTCACAATCTCACCTCTGCCATAAAGCTATTTTGGGGTCACCCCACCTGAAAGCAACATTTTTGTGCTCCAAATTTCCCTAACAATTATCTGTACCTCTCACAGAAATTATCTAGTATTGTGCCTACCAAATCACCTTCTGGTTACCTTTGCATCTTTCCCACTAAACACAACCACTGTGAGAAGGGGATGCTTGCTGGATTCAGCTTGGCTCCAGCAGCTACTTGCACAGTTCTTTGTATAGAGAGTAGTCAGTACATATTTCTTGAATGGAAATCCATATATCTACTTTTTGCAAATTCAGACTAATTCCTAAGGTAGACTGAATTCAATAATGAATTGATGAACACATTTCTCTTAATGACTTCAACATGAAGTTGTAGGTAAATAATTATATTACCAGAACTTCCAATGAGAAAACAAGTGTGTACCTTGATGGCCAGAACTGCAATAAATGGTGCCATAGCATGTGCAATGACCCACCCAGGGAGGGTAGAGTAGGTATGAAATGACAGAGAATGGGGCAAAACACCAAGGAAAGACATCAAAGCTGAAATAAACTTACCTTGGGTAGCAATATAATGATTGGGTCGATGATAACCCTAAAAATAAATGAGAAAGAATATTTGATAAACATCCAATCGATAAGCAGCACAGAAATCACACGCTAAGTTTGCCGAAATGAACACATGTACAAACAGCTGCATCTCCAGAAAGGTAAATTGCAAGACTCAGCACCATTGAGTTACTCTTAATAAGTGAAGATGCATCAGATAACAGTTCTGATGCTTCCACAGGAGGTGTAGGTAACTTAATCATACTCCAGCTATTAGATGAGGGATGAGCAATAAACTCGTGGATTCACTGAAGTAACATGACCATGACTCTTGTAAAGTGCAAACAGGATGGGAATGTGCAGTCAAATTTCATTTGTGTTTGGGATGTTATTGGCAATGTGCCAAGGGTGCAACACATATTCTATAATATTGGTATAGACAGTTATATCGATAGTGATACTCAAAACCATTCTTAAACACTGCAAATACCACATCATGACACTGTAGTAAGGACCAAGACTTTAAAGAGGCAGAGATTCTGCAAGACCCTTTCCTTTTATTATGACCCTAGAAGAAAGAAGACAGATAAAAACTGGGACCAAAGAAAGAAGGGAACAAAGAAATTGTAGGATAAGTATCTGGGAAAGATAAAACCAACTCAGAAAATTACACCCAGGTAACATATTATATCACCATGAACCTTAATACTTTCCATTTCTGTCCCCTGAAATTACCCAAAATACTTTGCCCCAAACCAGCTAGAAAACAGAAACAAAAATTTGGAAATAAAGATTTCTCAGACAACTTGAAACGCACATATGTTAGAATTCTTGCTCTCAAAACAAGTGGACAGTAATAAACAGACAAACAAACAAACAAAAAACAAAAAGCAAACACATTCTTTATATAAATGACTGCTGTGGGGCTCAAATTACAGAGTTATGATCAATATTAAAGGGAATTCTGCAGATACTTATTTCTCATTAGCTGTAGGTTCCACAAGGACAGGAACTTTTGACTTATCCGCCCTCCATGTCCAGTGCCTAGCAAGGCACCTAGTAAATAGGAGGAACTCATCTGATAGACTGAGGTAGGGTCCAAACATGCCTATGTTGCTCAACACCATGGTCGTTTCCCAGTCCTCACCTACATGACCCATTGGTAGCATGAATACAACTGAGCCCTTAAAATACTTTCTTCACTTGCTTCCAGGGCATGTGACTCTCTTGGTTTTCTTCCTCTCTCCCACCCTGGCCACTTGCTCTGTTTCACTGGCTAGTTCTTCCCCTTCACCTTGATGTTGGAATGCCCAGCTCTTGGACTTGTTTTTCTGTCTACAATCTCTCTTAGTGATCTTATCCAGTCTCATGGCTTTCAGCACCATCTGTAAACTGATGAATTCTGATTCTTATTTCTTTTCATTATTTTATTTTATTTTTTTGAATTTGAGTCTCACTCTGTCACCCAGGCTGGAGTGCAGTGGCAACTCTCACGGCCATCCTAGGGTCGACTTGCTGGGCTCCGGCAATCCCTGCGCTTCAGCCTTCCAAGTAGTTGGAACTACAGGCATGCGCTACCACATCCAGCTAATTTTTGTGATTAATTGTAGAGACGAGCTCTCACCAAGTTGCCCGGGCTGCTCTCGAAACTGTGGGCTCAGGCAATCCACTCGCCTCAGCCTCCCAAAGTGCTGGGATTACAGGCTGAGCCACCGAGCCCAGCCCCTGTATTCTTATTTCTAGCACAAACCTTTTCCTGGAAATTTTGATGTATGCCCATTGCCTGCCCAACACCTCCCCTGGGATGTCTAATACATATTTAAAGTTTAACACACCTAAGACTGAACTCCTCATTTCCTCCCTAACCTCTACCCAAATCTCTTCCATCCATAGTTGTCTTCTCAGGCATTCTTGAGCCCTCTCTCCCTCCTGCAATCCACAGCCAATCTGTCAGCAAATCCCACTGGCTCTACCTTCCATGTGGTTCAAGGATCCCAACATTTCTCACCCTCTATTGCTACCACAGGGCCAGTCACTGCCACCTCTCCGATAACTGATACAGGCCTCCTTGCTTCCATACCTGCCCACCTGCAGTCTACTTCCCTCTCAGCAGCCAGATTGCTCATGCCTTTGCTCAGAACCTTCTAATACTGCCCCCCTCACAGTAAAAGCCGAAGTCCTCACAACTGTGTACATCTTCTGGCCCATGACCTCTCCTTGCCACCGCCTGCAACTCCCCATACCCCTTCATGCCATGCTACCAACATTTGTGTGCTTATTTTACTTCAAATTGGCCAGGTAAGCTCCACAGTGAGGCCTTTACTCGGGCTTTTTCTCAGCCTGCAACACTCTTCTCCCAGGTATCTACGTGGCATCCTCCCTCTTTGTTCATGTGTCACCTTCCCAGTGGAACTGATTCCAGCCACTCTATTCAAAGCTGCAATACACCTCCAGGCCTGGCCCTCCTAGTCCCCTTTCATGACTTTAGTTTTCTACATAGTACACATTAAGAAAGTAACTTTTTATGGCTTGTCCATTTCTTCTGATTAGGACATCAGCTCCATTAGGTCAGAGATTTTTTGTTTTTGGCCTGAATAGTTCACAGTTATAATAGTAATGGACATATAATTAGGTGTTCAATAAGACCTTACTAAGTGAATAAAGGAGACCTGAGTATTGACCCCTCTCTCTATTAAAATAAAATTCAACTCATTAATCTTGTATTTTCATTATTATATAGCCGTTTTCATATTACTTCCTTGAGCTGGAATGTCATCTTTACTCTGTATCTTTACCTCAACACAATGTAAAGCTTTGTTCAGTTACCTCCTCTCCAATGACTAATATGATCACAATTACTCCTTTAACTGAGGTTCGTCAAACACGAAATGCTCACTGTACTCAGACATGTGCCACGTGCAGGGGAGTAGGACACTGTCCCTGTGCTCAAAGGACAGAGATTGCAGGAGATGGGATTGCAGGAGCGGGGACTGGAGTGTGCACAGTCTCCTCCAGAACCTCCCAAGGGATGGTGTGTCACAGTTGATCTGGAGGTCAGAGGACAGGAGAAGACATTCATATTTTGGCTTCTAACCTGGGAAGCTGTAGGGAGAAGATAATGGGTCTGGGACCCCTCTGAGTATGCCCACAAAGTGTTCACTGAACATTTGCTGAATGTAGGAGCAAGCGCAAAGCACCTTACGTAGAATCCCTTCTTTAATAACAGTATTTTGAACAACCAAGCCTAGAGTGGGTATGTCTTTGGTCATTATCAAAATAGTGCAGGAATCTTCGTTTGATGAATGAGATATGAACTATTACTAAATAATCATTCCACAATCCCCACCCACAAATCTATGACTAAAAATGTCATACTTTTCCAATTAGCACTAAAAATAACAGTCTTATAGTTATTTTCAGAGAACTCTTCCCTAGAGATGGTGATGTTTACTTTTAGTGGCATCTGAGTAATACTTAATCAAGGAAATAAAATGATCCATATATATAGGTAAAACTGTTCATGGGAGTATTGACAGACTAAGAAATAATGTGATGGCCAACTACAGAGTATGCCTTGGGAACCACAAGGGAGTGGAAATCTGTTTAATGTAAACTTGGGCCTTGGAGGTAACAGCAACTTTCCCTTGATTTTTCAGTCTACTTTTGATTTCATTCATTCTTTCAACTGAAAACATGCTGTCTCCTAAAGAATTTATTCTAATGTAAAACATTAAGTTAACATGATGCAGAATGAACAAAGAAGTAGTCTTCAATAATTAAACAGCCTACATATTTAATGACATGTCTTGCTTGCATTAGAAGTTCTGGTGAACAGCTGCAGACTACTTTGAAGGCAACTTAAAAGTGCAATGATGACAAGGGATTGCAAATCACTGTATGAGGAATTAGAGAGTTTTGTCCTATTAATATGCAAACAGATTTTTAAAAAGAGTCAAATAATACAAGTTGTTGACAAAAATGGAAGTAACATTTTCTTATTCCACATAAGCATGGGATGGCAAAGAAAGGGTAGAACATTACAAAGAAATTCACCAAAACACGGGCTGATTGAGAAAAGGAGTGACCGTATGCTCACTGTGAAGCTCTGCAGTGTATAGGGCCACAGTTACACGTATGCTTTTGGATTGAGCCCAGCATGCGTCCATCCATTGTATAGCAGACACAAGATCTGGTACGTGCCAGAACAGTTGAGTTTAGTGACAGATTCATTCCCTGGTTGACCACTGCACATTGTGTACATGTATGTAAATACCACACACAGCCCCAAAATATATACAACTATCACATAGCAATTTTTAAAAAGAAAAAAAGACATACATCAATATAATTTCCATTGATATAGTCTGAGTTAGTGTCGCCTTCTATTGTCTGTAGCCTCACCCGGGAATGATCATCTGAAAAGGAAAAAGAAAAGAAATAAAACATCAATTGATCAAATAAATCTGGTAGGCTGATCTGAGCCCCAAAATGTCAGAACATTATAGGATCACCCACATGCACACTGTTTTAAAGATAAGAAATTAAACACTACACATCTTCTACATCCTATTTTGCTATTATGACTAGGAAGGATTTATAATTTTCTACATTTTACAGTAAATCTCATTAACTTATTCTCTGATCATCGACAGACTTGAAGCACTGGCAAAGGTTTGAGCCTCTTACATATGGTCCTGTGAACCACAACAGAATTTCTTGGATTGGAAGTTTGAGCAACTTCACTAAATCACACACAAACCTTGAGATGTTGAAGGTTTCCTATGACACCCACCTTGACAAATGATGGCTATAAACCCACAGCCCAGCCTTCTGGGATGAGCAGATGTGATCCTATCCTCAGTCACCGCCTGTGAGTTCCCTAAACCCTCCCTCTGTACCAGAGGGCAGTGTCTGGCAAGAGCAAAGCTCTCTCCATCTGCCTTGTGACCACAAGCCAGGCAATAATGCCACCAAGCCTCAGCCTCCTCATCTGGAGAAGGGGATGACAGTACTTCTTTCAAACTGGGCTGTTTCTAGGATTAGATGAAAGCATACATTGCCATACTGGAAGTTAGTAGAAGGGTCACGGTTGTGGTATTACCTAGCTTTACTTATTTCCCAAATAAGAAAGATTCTCTATGAATACTGTTGGAGCATTTCAACTATTTCCTTGAAAATTCATTCTTTAAAAAGGAAAGAGCTAAAAGTCCTCCGAGGGCAGGGTTTCCCTGCACTGATTACTGCTCTACCCCGGACCTTAGAGTAGTGCCTGGAACACGGTATGTTTCTCCCCAAATAGTTTTTAAATAAATGAAAAGTTAACTTTTGGTTTTTTGAAAAAATATATTCTTTAAAAAATTAATTTTCCTAAAAGAATGTTTCTCTTAGCAGCAGAGTCCTTCCTTCTCATTAAAGCGTACTCCAAAATTCAGTATTTAGAACAGATAAAAGCCAGTTGCCCTGAAAGGGAAGCCGAGAGAGGGACTGATGAGGACACTTTGCAAAATGTCATCTGTGTTGCTAGAGCAGTGGGAGGTCCTGTTGCTTAGTGGCTCCAGCTTTTTGCTGATGCTAACTTTATTTCACATTTCACCTGGGTTAGTGGGTGAGAAATGAAGCCCACAGCTTAAGACCTAAGAGCCAGGAAAGCAGCAGATGGCAGACCATGTTATCCCCGATTCCTGGACCAAGTGTCGATGCTGATCTGTGGCTTGGCTTGAAATGTGAAAGGGTGAAAGTCAAAATTTTATATTGGTTTCGAAGTTCAACTTCTTGTTGGGTAAATGTTTTGCTTGTTGTCAATAGTGTGGGCAGAAGGAAATCTGTGCCAATGTCCAAAATTTCCTTTCTTGATGTGGCTTTTTACTTTGTCTCATGACAGGTAGTCATATTATTTCATGTCAGTGCCTCACAATTAGGCAGGGTACAGCAAATTTACTTAGAATGTGGTAACAAGCTGGGCCAGACAAGGAGAAGAACCTAGAGGAAGTTGTGTCTTCAGGCTCTGCTCAAAAGAAAACATGGTATAGTGATTATGTGTGTGACTTCCGGGGTCAGGTGTGTGGGTGAGAATCCCTGCTGGTGGATTACAAACCTCCACGTGTGATTTTGGGCAAGTTACTTTATCTTTCCAAACTCTAGTTTCCTTAGCTGTAAAATGGGGATGAACAGACCTACCTTGTGGGATTATTACGAGCATTAAAATAATACACATAAGAGATTAGAAGAAAGCCTGGTATGCAGTGACAGACAAATGTCAGTTGTTATTATCATATACATTGTAATAGACACCTGTACTTTTCTCCTCACTGTCTTTACAGCTTATGTCCAAACAGACGACAGCAACCTCACAAACAGACCCACATGCACTCAGAGTATTCCTCATGGCGACTGACTTTAAGAACTAGCTTCCAAGAACACATTTTGCTGAAAACCAGTTTCCTATACATATTTTGCCTGAAACGAGTGTTGGGGAAGAGAGTTGTTGGTGCACTGGGTATGTGTAGATTGTTACAGCTTTTGTATCTGTTAGGAGAGTTAGTGCTACCCACAACTGTTGTGCAGAGCAGAGCCACATGCTGATAAAGCCATTTGAGCTTCACAAATGGAAGATGCTACCCTAGGACTGAATCACGACTAGTCCACACACCTCAGGCTTCCCGTCAGCTCCTGTGCAGGGAGATTAGGCTTACCTTCCCACACACTTGAACTTCCCTGGGCAATTTTGCAAAAGACCGGCAACAGCATTAGAACTATGCGATCTTTAGAATCAGGCCTATCTCAAGGATATATTGCACCACTTTGTCAGAATCCCCTCTCTTTCACACTTTCTTTCTTTTAGAACCTCAGGATAAATGCTGCCCTTCCCTGTGATGTATATCATCCTTATGCTTCTCAGTTTGCTCTGGAATGCTCTCTTTAGGAACTTTAATCTCTGACAAGACTAAATTCTCATCTCCTATAAACAGAATCTTTGAAATAAAGAGTTCTCCCATCATCTCCTAAAGTTTAACCCACCCCCGGCCCCCACCACATTCCAAAATCTAACTTGGCTGCTTCTACTTCTCCAAATTTAGTTGTTCTTACTCCCCTTGGGATGGAGAAATCCATAAGACACTTGTACAACATATTTTCTAAGCAGACTGAGTTTTTTTTTTCTTTATAGGCATGGTAGTATCTTTTTCTTCTTTTTAAATATTGATTCTACTAGATTATAATATCTTGTCATCACAGACCATGTTAACATTGTGAATATCCCCAAGAGTACCTTTCCCAAGGCCACAGTGTCCAATTCTAGGGGACTCCATTCACAGCACAGTCTGCAGTGACACATGCAGTGGCCCTGCCTAACATAACAGCAAGTGAGTAGAAAGTATTTAACTCTACACTGTGCTGATGAATGGATCGTGGTCCAAGATCAGCCAAGGTACCTGGACTGTACTCAAAATATCTTTTGAAATTTTGGTTTTAATATAGGTTTGCCTAATGTTGTCAGAACAATAAGCTGTCTCATCTTCTAGCAATCTCTCTTACCTTTCCTTTCCTGCCCATCTCTAACTGTCCAAATGTTGCCCATTTTTCAAGATCCAACTCAAATGGCTCCTCCTTAATAAGGGATTCCCATGTATGGAGCAATTTTCTGAGTAAATATAGTATATGCCAAACACTGTGCTAAGTGTTGGGGATATAGTGGTAAACAAGTTGGATACATGGTCCTTGAGGTCATAGGACTTAAGGCAGTGGAAAAGACATTAAATAGTAATTTCATAAATCATTAAATACAATGTTGTGGCTGGGCGCGGTGGCTCATGCCTATAATTCCAACACTTTGGGAGGATTGCCTGAGCTCATGGGTTTGAGACCAGCCTGGGCAACTTGGCGAGACTTCATCACTACAATAAATACATTAAAAATTAGACGGGCATGGTGATGCGTGCCTATAGTTCCAGCTACTTGGAAGGCTAAAGCAGAAGGATCGCCTGAGCCCAGCAGGTCGAGGCTGAGGTGGCCATGAGTGTGCCACTGCACTCCAGCCTGGGTGAGAAAGTGAGACTCCAAATCAAAAAAAAAAAAAAAGAAAAAGAAAAAAAATACAATGTTGGTAAATGCTAACTTGGAAAGGACAGAGAGCTATAAGAGTGTATAGCATGGAATTCAGTCCACTGTGAGAAGCCAGCAAATTATTCCCTAATAAAGGGACATTTAGGCTAAAACCACGAAGGTAGGAAGTGGAGTTCAGAGTTCCTAAATTCCAGGTACTGGAAATAGTGTGTTCAGGTCTTGAGGTAGGAAGGCTCTAGTATGTTTAGGAAATTGAAGGAAGATCAGTTTGGGGACATGCTTCAGACCTTGGGCAGAAGAGTGGTGGGAAATGAGACATGACAGGAAGGAAGGGCAGGTCATCAGGACCTTTATCCTGAGCCTCACAGGAAGTCTTGGAATCATTTGAAACATGGAAAGGGCATGCTTCACTTTACCATATTCCTTCTGCCATTGCTGAGAATGAACTGGAAGCGCTCCTGGGTGGGTGTGGGGGACAGTGGGAGGCTGCTGCAGCAGCCCTGGGGAAAGCTGATGGTGTAGGAAGGCCCTAGTGGACAGGAAGAAGCGAATGGACCCATTATTGCAGTGGTAGGACTGACAACGGTGATCAGTTCATTAAATGTGGATGAGAAGAGGTGCCATGAATGACAGGAGAAACAAAGTGGGAGATGATTCCCTTGACTAAGACGTGGAGGATGAGAAGAGCCATTGTGAAAGCAGGCTTAAAAAGATATCTACAATGTAAAAAATTAAACTAAACATGTACTCAGCCTTTGCACAGTTAAAAAAAAAAAAGTTCCCTTCCTGGAAACTGGCAACAGCACTTGCTGGCTAGGTTAAACTGCCTAACAGCTTTTTTTTCACTTCTGTGAACCATGCTTGCATTGCTTGAAAGGTACCTAGGCCTCCAGGATGTTGCGGTTTAGCCCACTCGGAAAGTCCCAATGTGTTTAAGCTCCACTTAAGCAAGCCCCTACAGCTAATCAGGGCCCCTGGCTGTGGGACTGTCATGTCCAACAGGCGGGTGGTCACTGGCCTGGCTCTTGACTAAACAAAACCTCTCTTTTTTATAACTTGTACTTTTGGTGCTAGTGTCTGTGAATTAAGTGCTGGGTCCCTATTTCATTTGGGGCTCGTCTGGGATATCTGAGAGCTTAATCCCCAGCCCCAAACACAGCTGACCTTGTGGGTCTGCATACCTGTGAACCTCAGTGTTCGTCGGGCCTGGTGAGTCTGTGGACTCGCAAACGACTGACTGTCGTCTCTGGTAGACTCACAACGTCCCCAGAGCCCTCTGAGAGGTGAGTCAAGTTCCTGTTTTGTTTGTGCGTACTTCTGGTTGGACCCGCAGGAAAACTGGACGCAGCACTAA